AACTTATGTTGTTTCTTATTGTAGTTTTTTAGATATATATGTTTTTGCTTTAGCACAAAATTTGGCAAAATGATCTATGGGAAGAGTTGGTTATACTGATATGAAAAAAAAAAAAAAATTGAATTTATATATAGAGAACCTGATTAGTTATATATTAAATCTGAGGGGAAGGGGATAAGGTACTAATAAAAAAAAATCAAGTGATTAATGACACAGCCCTTATTCAAATTCGTCGACAGTGAGATTTGAACCTCAGACCTCTTATATGGCAGTCTGGCAACCTAACCACTATACTAAGATCGCCAGACCTTAAGTATATTTTTCTTGTTTGATGTGAAAGGTAATACAATAATTGTTCTTTTAATTCTGTTATTTGTGAATGAAAGTCTAGAGGTACTGATTTATACATAAACTCTAGAAAATCAAACAATTCATCACAGTTGGGGCATCGTGTTTCATGACTGTTGATACATTCACCAAATGCATAAGATTAGCAGTGAGAAATACAATAATCATGTTCTACATGATCATCTAGTTTGACTACCAATTCTTTTTCATATCCTCGCTTTATATGCCACTTGAGTTTATCAAGGCGCACTAAAGTTTGATACTGATAAAATTAATTAGTAAATAAATATGTTTATATTCTAAGGCAGAAAAATTTTTAGGCATATCCTTGTACATGCAAGAAGGTATGATATGTCATAAACCATGTTTCCTACCCTAATTATAAGAATCAGATAAATAGAGACTAACCACAGAATCTTTATTTATAAAATTAGTATGAATAATATTTGTCAATTTTTTGAAAGTCTCATATCTATAATCATTGCAGATTATGCATAATCCGCCAAGATCTTTGCAATACTTAAGGTTTGTTAAATTAGCTAATCGAGCCATAAAGCTAGTTCTTTTCATGCCATCTGGGTAAGTCTCACTAAATTTTTCCTATAAGTCACTTTTTTGATCACATAGATATAGAATTAGTAATTCTGTTTTCTTATCTACATTGTATGAACTCATAACAACATTTTCTCGATTCTAAAAAAACAATAGAAACTGTTCTTCTTGAACCTCAGTAAGTCTTTGAACAGTTCTTTTTGGTTTTTGTAAGAGTGGTACTCCTGGACCATATAACCACACATGTTTTCTAGCCTTATTAATTGTATCATTACTTATACCTAATTCTTTTCTTAGGACATTATATTTAAAGTTTAGAGCAATAATCGAAAGGATGCGAATTTTACTTTCAGATCCTCTTTTATTTGCAGTTAATGTATTATGAAAACTATCCCAAAAAATCTTATCTTGTGAAGTTTGTATTAGCTGTAAATTTTGTGCTGGTATTAAAGTTTTATCTAATTGGATCTTATTATTTTTGTATAAAGTTTCTAGTAATTCTCTGTCAGCAGTGAAGTTTAATACTTTATTCCAAAATTCTATTGAAGATTCTTTTTTTGAAAAAGGGATTACATTGGTACAACCGCAAGCAGCAAATATTGACCTCCATGCCCTTAGTTCTTTTTCTTGCAAAATATATTCAGATGAGTAAATTTCTTGTAACATAAGCAGGAATTGAATAACTGAACTTTTTTGTTTATACTAATTATAAAAAAGAAGTGGCCAGCTAATCATTGTATTAGGAATTTTTTGCGATTTTATATGACAATTAAATATTTTTTCAAGTTTTTGTGTATTTATCCAGTTATTTAGTATACATATTAGCAATTCACCTCTTAGCGTCTCGATACGTTCCCGAACTAATAGGTTCATAATTCCAAAAAGATATGATCCGGTATATTTTTTATATAATTCTGCTTTATTCCAAGCTTCATCTGGTGTTTGTCCTATGATATGATTTATACACACTGATTCTGAATAAATTTTTAAACTACACTGATTTTCTTCAATTCTAAGAACAAATAGATATTGTGTGCTGTGATAACGTATAGTAAATGAAGAGACGAAACCAGTACTGACCCTATAGAATTTATTTTTGTCAAGATCACTAATATTTGTTATCATCATATTAAATTTTTTATTGCGAAGAAATATTGGAAAAAATTCTATATCAGTGGTCAGTTGTTGAATAATATCTTCATTTTCAAAACCTATAACAGCTAAGCCAGAGTATTCTGTTCTCATTTCCAAAACTTTTTGATAACATGCGTTAATTGCTGCTGATAGATGTGATTTAATATTGGATTTAAATATATTACAAATACATTGAAATCCAGACTTTAATGAATTTTGGGTACTTGGCAAAACTGTGACAATGAAGTTCTTACTATTGAGTTCACATTCAATGCATATATATTTATGTTAGGGTATTACAAAATGCTTAGTTTGGGCTTTTAATTCTAAATGAACTGTTTCTTATCAGGTTTTGGACCAAATTCTATAATGCAAGTTAGGGTCTATAATACCCTTACTCAAGATTTTTGTAGTGAACTGTCATTTTCTTGACATTTTATTTGCAGATTAAAGATTCGAAAGAGTATCTTTAATAGATGATAAGAAATTCTTAATACTTTGAATTAAGGTATTTATATATTTTTTTATTAAAAAAAAAGGAAATATATACATGCACAAAGTTTGTTATGGGAGAATGAGTCATATTCGTTTTTGCCAGAGGCATGATGTTAATAATTCAGTATTAGGTTTATTACTTTAATTGAGTTTATGTTTTATTAATATCTTTATTATAGTTATCAAGAACTAATTTAGAACTTTATTAATTTTGTTCCCTTTTACAAAGAAGATATTATAATGCTTTTTTATAACTTTTGGACTTCGAGGCTAAGACAAGTTATTTTTATCTTTATTCTAACACGATTTGTCTCTTTCCCTCATGCTATGACTCCTTTATTTAGTTGTAACTATTTCTTGTCATATTACCACATTGTTACTCTTGTAATCACTCTTGTCATCACTCTGGTTATCACTCTAGTCATCACTTTAGTCATCACTCTTGTCATCATTCTTGTCATCACTCTCATCATCACTCTTGTCATCACTTTCGTCATCGCTCTCGTTATCACTTAGTCATCACTTTTGTCATTTGTAGAACAACAAGATTACAGATGGACGTATCCATTTTCGATAATCTCTTTCTGTCCATAGCCGTTCTACATTTTAGGTGCAGCTCCGACCCTATTTTCTGAGTCTATTCTTTTATTCCGTAACAGTATATGTAATAAATAATATGAGGTAAGTTTGACTCTCTTATATTGTAGAAAAACTTTATTTAAATAGAAATGAAATTACAACTCTTTTATATCTTTCTGGGATAACTACATAAATAAAATTTAAATAATTCTGGTTTAAGAATGATTTTCGAACAAAAAACTTTGATTTTAATGATGAAGCTTTTTATGACACGAAAGTGGAATTTACATTCCAAATTTCCTATCTGCTGAGTACTAATGTACTTTTAACTTCCATTTATACGTTCCATTCAGAACTTCAAATCGAGTTATCTTAGTTAAAATTTCTATTTTTTAATTCTACCAGCATCTATATATGTATAGTCTGACACTGATCGTTCGATCATGATTCCAGAATCATTGGAGTATACGATACACTATGTTCAACAAAATTATAAGTAGTATTATATAAAAATTTATTATTAAAGATTTTTTATTTACTTATTTACTATAATAATTCTTCGTAAATTTTTTAAATAGATGCACAACCCTAATAGCTCTATAGTTTTAGATAAAATTTTTTAACGATCTACAAACAAAGCTATAGAGCTATTTTTTTTATTTAAAGTAAAAAAATTTTTAATTACAAGATAAGTCTTTTTGAAATGTTGATTTAAAATTTTTTCACATCTAAATAAAAGAAATAGCTCTATAGCTTTGTTTGTAGAGATATCATATTAGTAGTTACAAAATTTTATCTAAAACTATCAAGCTGTTAGAATTGTGCATCTATTTAAAATTCGTGAAGAATTATTATAGTATATAAGTAAAATCAAAAATCTTTAATAATAAATTTTTATATGATACCGCTTATAATTTTATTTACATAGTGCATCACACACCCCACTGAATCATATATTTTGCAGCACAGTTAGGTTTTTTTAAAATCACTTTTTCACCTATAATAATGATAAAATTCAGATCATTATTATATAGTTATATTTATTTAACGTTTCTTTTATATAATTTATTTAATTTTCTAACTGGATATACTTATTTATCCAATATAACTAGTGAGAATCTTTTGAATTAGACTCATCGCAGTAGTCATGAAACTCATTAAGGCATGAACTTGCTATACATGTGTGCCTAAATTATTTTCAAAAAAAAGTATTTCAACAAATATTTTAGTATTGCTAAATTTTTTATATGAAACCCTCTGAAATAACTATACTATGTGATATATTTTGATGAAAAGAGTTCAAAAAATTCGACAATAATTTCAGCAAATATGAAAATTAATTTTGGTACTATATAAAACTAATTTCAGCTGCCTAAATTCCATAATTACTTTTTTATTAGGATAAGAAATTTAGGCATACATGTATAGGACTTGCTGCAGTAATCACGAGATCCGATAGATTGTTAGAAGATAAGTATTCTTTATTCTAGTCTGTATTTCAATATATTTTGCGAATTAAACATGAGTCACAAGTTTTTTGACTAGCAATCTTGTTTTTTAATCTTTGGGCTCTTTGACCACGTCAGTTTTTTTAGTACTGATTCTTTCGATTTCCAAGAATCGATTTTGCCACTAATTTAGATAGCACATCAAGGATTTGTGTATATAACTTCCAATTTTTAATTTTGATTAGCAATTATAGTTTGATCACTACTGTAATATTTTCGTGTAATACCTAGTTTAATCTTGTAAATATTTGCACAAAGACCATCGCTCTAGGAATCTTAGGCTTTTTCCTACACTCTGAAGGTTCAATGACGATAGTCATAGAATTAATTATTATTACAGTTCATTTGAAATTCAAGTCATTGATAGTTTAAACATGCCAAATTAATTTTCTTTTTTTTTTTTTTAGAGTCTTGCCCTCGGTATTTCAGTAGGGTTTAGAATCTTTTGTTCCTGTACGATTACTGATCACATACAACATGGTTCGTTCACACTAGAAATTCGAATATTAAGGTATAGTTAATTCTTAATTTAGTATAATTCTGGTAGTTGAAAATTAATAACAGGATTAATTTATGTGAATTAGAGTTGACTAATAACAAATAACATTCATCCGTTTTAAAAATTTATGAAAATACTGTTGTAAAATCAAAAATTTATTATATAATAAAAGATCATAATAAGTAAAAAATAGTAGTAATATTAAAGGAATTTTATTATGTTTTTCGAGTAATTAATTCTATTCTTCGAATGCTTTAATTGTATGTCATTTTATAACAGATTCCAATACTATTTTTTTATTTTTTTTTTTTGTTTTTTATTTTTTATTTTATTTTATTTTTATTATTATTATTATTTTTTTTTTTACAATGACAGATTACAATGACAGACTAAACGAATTTTACAGTATTATACATGAGCAGTAACAAGTCTTTAAAACATCTACCATATCTCATAAACTGCTACAATATGTAAATACTACAATTTAAATCGGAATTGCGAATTTTAGCTCACTAATTTTTATTTTAGACCTAATAACACAAAAGTAAAATATAATAGTGTTAAATAACATTCTAAAAATAGGAATCAAAATCAAGCCGAAAATGCCAACTTATAAACAGTATATATTTTAGCTGTATTCCAGTATACTGTAAGATTATATTATACGATGATAACTTCACCTTCAACGGGTTTCAAATACCACATAAAGCCTTTTTTTATCTTTGGTTATGCCTACGCAATTTTGATAGCAGAGTCCAAGTCTGATTTGTCAATTAGAATTGTTACTTACCACAGATTTCAAACACCACCTAAATGATATTTCATTTTAGTTGTGCCTATGCAATTTTGATAGCAGAATCAAAGTTTGATTTTACTGTTTGATTTGTCACCAGCAGATTTCAAATACCATCTGAATTGCCACCTTCATCAGACTTCAAATACAACTCAATACCATTTTTTCATCCTTGTTGTATCCTCCAGAATTATACCTCCAGATGTAAGTAATAGTTATATCCTAGGTAATTGGGTATAAGCAGAATTTTGCTATAAAGTATAATTGATGTAGATCAGCTACGTAAGTAGCTAATATACATCAATTATACTTTACAGCAAAATTTCGCTTATACTAACTACTAAGGATATAACTGATTTATCTCCTGAGGCTATTTGAATTTGAAGATTCATTTGATGTTCCTTTTTTGAATTCAGATTCGAAGGAAGGAATTTTAAACAAACATTGCCACATAAAATGATTTGAATATTGTGATTAGCTTGTTTTATTTAGGAAGGAGCAATATTCGAGGAGGGGAGAACTTAAACGAATTTTCTATTCAAATGGCCTAAATATATAAAAAAAATCATATGGATGGAGTTGGCCAGAAGATAAATAATATAATATCTTTGGAGTTATTATTTCGCAAAATATAGTATATGAACGATTGTGCAATATCTACAAAATTTAGGACTGAATTAGTTAGTATATATAGAAATCATTTAGCATATAGTATTACTTATAGAGTGCATTTCAAGAGATCATTGCACACCAATATAATATTATACGTAGCTGAGCCTAAATCAATCTTCATAAGTGTGTTTTTCTGACAACTTGCATATATAGAGGTCGATTTTATCATTATTAGATTAACAATAATTCATATAATTCTGTTTCACTAAAGACGTCTGTTTAGATAATAGTGTATTACCATAGTAACTCGTGCTTACTTCTATGCTGACCTTGTTGTTTCAGGATCTTTTAAAAAAAACTGTACATTTACAAGAGGCATTTTTTATTAATTAAATCGCGTCAAATTTACTTAATATATGTCGATCATTTTATCTGGTTGACTTATAGATTATCAATTAATGTAGCATATATTCTATAACCTATTACTATGCTTTTTTTTTTTTTTACGTTTAAGATAGCTTACATTGCCAACAGAATTTTATTAGTATTTGCATACAGGATTATATATTGATAATCTTTACTATTTGTAATTATATGAAGAGTATACAACAAGCTATATGTATAACTTTAGTTATTGTCTATTTTAAGTAGTCTGCTATACAGGCAATTAGACTACTCGATTAGTTTTACACTATGCTACTATACCTGTAACCTGCTTGTGAATTACTTATTTAAACATTCTATTCATTAACCTATACAGATCCAAATCTAATATCACTACAACACCTAATCACTTAAGCTAGCTAGCTTGTTACTGATTCATTTACTCAAATTAGCTTAGGTTTTCTCAGAATACACTATATCAGATGCATTACTAGTATTGCAGAGCTAGTTAACCTTGAAGCAAATCTACTAGAGTAGCCCATATCTATTTTATG